CAAAAGAACGATATGAAAGTCTTTGAGTTTTGGATATTTTGATTACCAGAAAGTTTACATGAAATAGGATTTCACTCATGGAAGAAGATGTTGAGGAGAATTTATTATTGCTTGTCATACCTCGGGAACTGAGAGCTCGAGACGGAACTTGGGGCCATCATAGTGGTGCAAGACTGGCCTAAAAGCATCCTCTTCCAGTGCATTGCAGAGTTTCCTAATACGGATTCTCACCTATTTATTTGGGAAATAGAAAGTAAAAGAATTTAGAGTTCGTGCAGTCTTCAACGGGAATAAATTCAAGTTCCTACAAACTACAAGCACAATCTTTAACCTGAGCAGGAAACCTTGACTCGCCTTTACACTTTTTGTCTTCCCAAGCAGTTGGATCAATGTTAGAACCCCCAAAAGTTGTTGCCTGTACATATAGAAGAAAACACGAACATGAGACCGGAAAACAAAAGATGTTGAAATGATCATTACATTCAGAAAAAGTGAGCATCATGCAAACATTCAGAAAAGGAATGAACTCCTAATCACAAAAAAAAGAACAGAAAGGAAAGCTAAACGAGTATGATGTAGATAACAAACCTCAAAAATACCATGCAACTGATGAGTAGTGTAGTTATAGAGAAATAGAGGCAAGCCAGGTGTAATTGCCCGGACAGAGTCCCGATATCTTGGTGGTAAACCTATCAAAATGAGATAACAGTGATAATTATATCTATGAGAACGGAAGTTTTCAAATAGACAGAGCTTATCCCCAGGAGCATGTAAAAATGGACAGGGTAAAAAAGTTGGCAAGAAAAGATGGCAATTACCAAATAGCTGGCGCTTTAGATCTTCCTGCATTGTATCATTATTACATACAAAGATGTATCCTCCAAGAACCTCATTTCTTGGGAGTGTCTCAGCTGTAGGCAACGTCTTGAATCGTTTGTCAACAGCATTGTTCGAATTGCTGTTATCGTTGCTGTTGTTATTGTTGGTCTTGCTCTTATTGTCGACATCTTTGTTGCTATGATTGTTGCCAATATTTGCTGCTAGTCAGGTTCCCATTTCCAAGGCAATTGCTATTGTTTTTCTGGTAAACAACATTCATGTTGTAATTACCATTTTGGAACGAGCTTTTGCTAACATTATCCCCCATCTTGGGGTCCAAGTTTAGCATACTGAAGTTAAGGTTTTCGAATTTGTTGTTGTGTTCCTGGAAACCGAATTTATCCCTTGTCCTTATTTCAGATGGACCCTTGGAAAGATCAAGATTGCTCATGCGTTCACCCTTTATCCTCGTCTGTTCAGCCAGTTTAGAGGCAACCATCAGCCATTGGTGATCCTCTGTGACTTTTGATTGTCCTCGAAGATCATCTCCCAACTGCCAAAAGCTATTCATGCTCTCCATGTTGCAAATCCTGGAAAGTAACAAGACGGGTCAACGCCAACATAATTTGTAGAGAATTGTTTAATCACACAATATACCATAGAAATATCTCAAACACTAAGCAAAAGCAAGAGAAACTGAGGGAAAATATAATAATTCATCTCATTTGATATATTAGAGAAATATTAAGCAAATCTTAAACAGTCAACTCCAATAACAGTATCAACAAAAAAGCTTCAATCTCTACCCAATTACCCCAATAACCATAGATAATTTCAAGAATTAAGCAATCATTTGATTCTAGAACCCACTGATAGCAAACTCTCCCATCCTTTCTAACAAAACACAAAATAAACCCAGATATCCTAAAACTTAAAAGCCAACTGCACTTTGACCAGGTAAACAACCGGCATTTCTTCTAAATCCGAACCCAACAAAACAAAATTAATCACAAAAACTAAAACCCAAAATTACAATTGTCTTTAATGCAACACCACAATATCAAAATTATGATAGATATATTAAATGTAAAAGCATTTAACTTAGTGCAATATCAAAATTACTTAGCTTACTAAGTAAAATTTCAATGTATAACCCGTATTGAGGATTGATTCAAAAGATTGAAAGAACCCTAGATTTGGGGATTCAAAAGAGGAATTGGAAAGTGCCCCTTTAGCTTTGCCAGCAGGTTCAACACACGACGTAGATTGAAAAGGAGAGGGGAGAGGGGAGAGGGGAGAGGGGAGAGAATAGAACAAGGTTTTTTTATATTGTAATTTAACATTTTGATGACGAAAATATCCCTCGAGAGAGTGAGTAATTTCGGGCCTTCCGGCCATTTAAAAGCGTAAATTATGCATTTAAATTGTTTTTTTTATCCATTTTAATATTTTAAAATAATATATAATATTTAATTTTTATTTTATTTATTTTCAACATTAATAAGAAATAATAATAATTTGATATATTTTAGTACTTAAATTTTCAATTTTTCTAAAATTATATCTAACATTTAGTTTTTATTTCATTTTAGTTCCCCGTCGTTTAAAACTTAACACATTTAGTACTTAAACTATAAGTTTTTATTCCATTTTAGTACTTAAACTTTAAAAAAAATTTCAAAATTTAACGTTAAACTTTGAAAAAAATTACTTCAATGAAACAAAAACTAAATTTTAAATAATAAATGGGTAATTTGGTCTAAATCATTTAAGAAAAAAGGTTAAAATAATAAGTGATTATCTAATTATATGAGAGTCAGACATTTCTTTTGAAGATTCAAGGGGCACTGTTCCTATATCATTATACCATGTTACGTGTGTTTTAAGTGACACTAATATTGTTTGTTTACTCCAAAATGATTAACCGTTGAATGATTTAAATATTGAATGATTCAGAGGCTCTGTATGAATTAACTCTTAATGGCTCTGAATGATTCATAATGTACTTTGATATTGAATCATTCAGTAATGAATTATTCAGAGGTGAGAAACAAACACGCTGAATGCTGAACTATTCAGCATTCAGTGCTGAATGGTTCCATTCAGAACCAAACAAAAAACCCCTAAAACTTGGTTTTGCACCATTGAAAATATACAACAAAAACTAAATAGTTTATGCCGTAAGGAAATTATTATTATTTCTTGAGGGTACGATTTCGAGCATCATGAAAATCAGGGGCATGAGCGTTCGATATAAAAAAATTAATAATTATATTTAAACAAATGATATATTGTACTTACCCCAAATTAATAAATAAAATACACATACAACAAGAATGCACTTAGGGTGCGTTTGGTTCACGAAATGTAAGATTACCAGTGGGAATAAAAGATTACCAGGGAATAGGATTACTGGGAATGTTGTATTTTGTGTTTGGTTGGTTTAGCAGGAATGTAAGATTACCGTGTTTTGTTAAAGGAATAAAAGATTATTGGAATATATATTTGACTAAATTGTCCTTATTATATATTTGTATAATATTACAAATTGTAAAATATTTATATATTTTCTTTAAAAAATTAAATTCATAATATTTATATAATTTTTTTACAAAATTAAAAATATAAAAAAGGTTTAATGAAAGGGAAAAACAATTTTAACCCCTGAACTTCATATAAAATTTTAATTATAGATTTTTTTTTGTAAATCTAAAATAATTTAAGGATAAATTTGTAATTTAACATTCGTAGAATTTTTATTATTCAATGACAGAAGAATACTATTTTTGAAAAAAATAAAAATTTAAGGGCATTTTAGTCCAAAACGCCGGTAATGTTACAATACCTAAGGGAAGGGAGGTAATGACATTCCCGGTAATATACTCCAAAATATTTACTATTAGTAATAAAATATTACCGGAAAGAGATTCCCGACACATTTAGTGGGTGTACATTTACCGGTAATAAAATATACTCCAAATGAATAGCATGATTACTGTACATTTAGTGGGTGCATGCCAACAAAGAGAACGGATGCATTGTGTTTGTTGGTAAGATTAGACACCATGTGACATCTTTAATTAAATTAGGGCTTCAAATTGGTCACGCATTAATATAAAACACAACCAAAACAACATTTTGAGCTGTCCAGAAACAAACAAAACCCCATAGGAGTTGCTCCATTTGTTATTCTTTACAACATAATGTTATAATTTGATTTTATTTTAATCATATGTTGTTAAGAAAAATATAACTAATGACATAATAATCTTTATTTTTTCCGACGATGACGTGACATTATCTTATGAAACATGTCAGTATCAATATTAATCTTTTAACGATGATTAATAAAAACAGAACTAAAACGTAATTATACATATTATTTTAAAAGAATAACTAAATGTCTAAATACGTAATTTACCAATGTTTTGTTCTAAAATTGGATGGCAAATCAATTTCTTTTATGCCACCAGGTCCATGTCCCTTGTTCCACTTTCATGAAAGGAAAATGTCAAACCATTGAATTTAACATGATCAAATTGTACTTTTAACCTAAAAATATTCAAATAACCCATGTTACAATATTCCTTATAAGAAAAAAAAAACAAATAAATAAATCATGTTACACAATAACTATACTTATAAAATCAATTATAAACTTCATCAAAGTAAAGTAAAATAAAATAAAATAAAATTTAAGACGATCAAAGTAAAATAAATAAGAGTAAATTATAAACTTCATAAATTAACTTTCTTCGTACTCTTGTTTTGATTATTAAAACTTAAAACATTATAATTTATTTATTAATTCTTTTATAAAACACAACCATAAACCAAAAACTCGTAAAACTCAAAATCACTCTTATCTATAATATCCATCACCCGATCAACGTGGAATCAAAGTATATGTCTCACTTCCTCCTTCACTTTGTCACTATTGAGATTTGAAAAGAAAATACTTCATCACCAAAAAAAAAATCAAAAGAAATTTGAAACTCTACGATTTTCAGAAAAGAAGAAGAAGAAGAAAGTTTTAGAATCATTTTATAATGTTTAAAAGAAAAATATCGAATCATAACATCATTGGATGTTGAACGAAAAATTGAGCGAATAAATTAAAAATTGTTAGACATTAATAACTAAATAAGAAAAAAATTGAGTGAAATTTGTAATTTATCCGATAAATAAAACCTAGTTAACTCGAATTGGACCAACTTAATAAAATTTTGTAATAATACAAACTTAATATTCCTTCCGTCCCACTAAAATCCAACGAACATGAACATAAAGAAAAACCAAACCCTAAACTGAAATTAGTTCATGAACTCAGACGATTTATCTCTTCAATCTAAAAGCATGGAGTTCCTTCCCCTGCTGAGTCAGTAACACGAAACAAGCCTGCAACAAATGAATCTGAGTTAGCACGATGCCTCCAAACCAGCAAACTCGGAGTTCTCTACCTTTGTCATTGCTTTACCAAACATGCAAGCTTTTGATCGCTATATTTCTCATTAGATACAGCAAAATCAGAGCTTATTCGTTTACATAAACAATTGCACGAATGAAAAATAATTCCGATTAATTATAAAACAATTCAATTCCCTGGTTTTCCATACCAATCAAAATCTGGATTTTCCACAAAATCCAGAAATTTTCGTTTTTATTTCAACGCATTAACTTGTACAGTGATTCACATAAACACAGATAAACATCGAATCTGAAGTAATTAAGCAGGAAAACCCGAAAAAATAAAGTAGAAGCAGATGGAGTCGGGCCTTACCTAACCGGATCCGACGATAATGTGTTAATGGGGATAAAGATGAGCTTGACGAAAAAACCTACAAATCCCATTACCACGAATCCGATCGCTGTACGGAACGCCACCTTTGTAAATTCTGAAACCAAAACAAAAGTCTTTCAATCAGGATTCCGATAGATCAACAATGTCTAATAATAATCAAAACAGAGAGAGACGAGTAACCTTTGCGATCCGGCTTGTGGCATTTCTTGACGAGACGAACACTGTCCTTGGAGAACTCTCTTAGCGGATCGAAAACAGAGTCAATTGCGTCCATTCTTCCTGTTTATTCGCTGGTTTTGCCTCGCAGTTTGAAGCAAAAGTTTAGATCTGATGAGGCAGACAATAATCGAATGATGAATAGAAAATAGGATAAACTACACCAGTGATCATTTATATTTTTAGTCCGCCCATTTTGGTCACCAATTTTTTTAAGAAAGAGAATTTTATCTTAACAAGTTCATGTGTTTGCTCTTAGCCCTTATCTTGAAGTCATTGGCCGTTGATAAAAATATACATGATCAATCAATTAGAGACTTGGACGTTGGATTAAAATCTATAATTATAATTATTATAAGTATATATGTATAGCGTATGATATTATTATTTAGTGTGACATAAAATTAAGCGATCAACGATGTTACATGCGTTAAAACCCTAGTTGTTCTCTTCTTTTTCTCTCTCTTTTTTTTACAATTTATGTTAGTTTATGTATATTAAATTTTTTTCCTTTGATTTAGTTTAGCTGGCGGTGACATCAATTTTGATATTGATTACTAACCACCAGTTGTCTTTTCTCTTTGTTTTTCTAGTTTTTTAATAAGAAAATTTTTGTCTTTGTGACACATTTACTTTTGTCTTTATGACACGTTTATCTCTGTCTTTTGGTCGTTGTTTTTGTTTATCTTTTTTCTCAGGGTTGGATATGACGTCACCACTAATGATCAAGATGACACTTATTTGTTATCGTGTTGAACTTCTCTGCTTTGGACCATCGTATTGATTTGGATACACGTTTTGTGTTCGTGGATAATTTTTTCACATTGTTTAACTTTGATTTACGATTTATCAGAAGTCTTTCAATAATTTTTTTTTGGATAATTCAAATATTATTACCTAATGAAGCAGAGTTCTGCTACAAACCAATCACCAACAAAAGCCTATATACAACTAAACAAAAAGAAATGATCGGTTAGACAATACCCCAAGAATTACAAATAGTGAAATTAACACTATCAAGTCTATTAATATTTTTTTCCTTTTAATTGTCTTTCAATAATTTCATCCTTTTTTTTGGTTCGTTTGTCGATGCAGTCAGATTTGTTCATATCTTTATTTTGTTTGAGCATTAGTTAGGTTTTTTATCCTTTTCCTTTTTTGGTCCTTGTGTGATCTAGTTGGCTAGTTTTTGTGTCAATAGTTATAGGAAAATGTCATAATTTTAATTTAGTTTAAGTTTACGGTTATGCTTGTAAATCTTCATTGGAATTATGAATATTTTAATTTAGTTTAAGTATTAAAGTGTCATGAAATTAAAATATAGATATAATAAATTGTATTTATAATTTGATGAGATATAGATTTATAAATAACTAATAAATTGACTTAAAATTCCAACTATATAAAGAGATAAAAATATGTTAATTTATATTACTCTTATCTCTCTAATTTAGTTACATTTTCGTATTTAGTATTTTTATTTTTATTTTATTTTATTTTTATTTTTCGATGATTTAACATCATAAATTTTGGATTCTTGATTAATCTCAATTAGATTTTGATTGGATTCTTGCGTTACAATAAAGAAAACGCCAAGAGAATTTTATCATTTCTTCGAGAGATTTCTTCGAGAGCACTTCCCCAAGGAGGTCAGTATAGTTCAATTCATATACGTTCCCTCTTGTTCTGTTCTGTATCGCTTCTTTCTTTAAAATCTGGTTTTCAATGTTTTAGCCATTTTTGTTTCGAGGAACTAACTATGGGGTGTTTTTGTTTCGAAATGCCAAATCGTATGGGGTGTTTTTGGGGGCAGACCCTCCTTACTCAGCAATGTGACCTATTTTTCAAGAGAGGATTATTATGACTACATCGTCGTGGGAGGAGGAGTCGTAGGTTGTTCATTAACCATCATCTTATCGTAAACATTTTGGGTTCTTGTTCTTGAAAGACGAGACATTCTTTATGATAATTGAAATTTAACGATCGATAAAATGACGGCTAGTGGATAACATGCGATCCTTACTACCGACGACGATGGGGACGAAGAAGAAGACACGTAGTTTTTTTTTTAATTTTTTATTGTTGTTTTAATTGTTAACTGATGCTTGAACAATGCGGCGTGTTTTTTAACAGAGGACTACTATGACTCATCGTTGTGGGAGAAAGAATCACAAGTTGTTCATTATTTGTCACCTTGTCGTAGTTGTTTCAGGTTCTTGTTCTTGAAAGAAGAGGTGCTCCCTATGGTAACCAAAATTTCATGAAAAGACAAGGTGACGACTAATGAAGAACTTGCGGTTCCTCCTCACGATCGACGATGAAGAAGAAGAAGAAGAAGACAACAAATGGACAACTTATGATTCTTCCTCCAGACGACGACAACGAAGAAGAAGAGGAAAAAAGATATATTTTTCTTATTTTTTTAACTTTTTAATTGTTAACTCATGCTTGAACAATGCGGCGTGTTTTTTAACAGAGGACTACTATGACTCATCGTTGTGGGAGAAAGAATCACAAGTTGTTCATTATTTGTCACCTTGTCGTAGTAGTTTCAGGTTCTTGTTCTTGAAAGAAGAGGTGCTCCCTGTGGTAACCAAAATTTCATGAAAAGACAAGGTGACGACTAATGAAGAACTTGCGGTTCCTCCTCACGATCGACGATGAAGAAGAAGAAGAATAAGACAACAGATGGACAACTTATGATTCTTCCTCCAGACGACGACAACGAAGAAGAAGAGGAAAAAAAGATATATTTTTTCTTATTTTTTTAACTTTTTAATTGTTAACTCATGCTTGAACAATGCGGCGTGTTTTTAACAGAGGACTACTATGACTCATCGTTGTGGGAGAAAGAATCACAAGTTGTTCATTATTTGTCACCTTGTCGTAGTAGTTTCAGGTTCTTGTTCTTGAAATAAGAGGTGCTCCCTATGGTAACCAAAATTTCATGAAAAGACAAGGTGACGACTAATGAAGAACTTGCGGTTCCTCCTCACGATCGACGATGAAGAAGAAGAAGAATAAGACAACAGATGGACAACTTATGATTCTTCCTCCAGACGACGACAACGAAGAAGAAGAGGAAAAAAGATATATTTTTTCTTATTTTTTTAACTTTTTAATTGTTAACTCATGCTTGAACAATGCGGTGTGTTTTTTAACAGAGGACTACTATGACTCATCGTTGTGGGAGAAAGAATCACAAGTTGTTCATTATTTGTCACCTTGTCGTAGTAGTTTCAGGTTCTTGTTCTTGAAAGAAGAGGTGCTCCCTATGGTAACCAAAATTTCATGAAAAGACAAGGTGACGACTAATGAAGAACTTGCGGTTCCTCCTCACGATCGACGATGAAGAAGAAGAAGAATAAGACAACAAATGGACAACTTATGATTCTTCCTCCAGACGACGACAACGAAGAAGAAGAGGAAAAAAAGATATATTTTTCTTATTTTTTAACTTTTTAATTGTTAACTCATGCTTGAACAATGCGGCGTGTTTTTTAACAGAGGACTACTATGACTCATCGTTGTGGGAGAAAGAATCACAAGTTGTTCATTATTTGTCACCTTGTCGTAGTAGTTTCAGGTTCTTGTTCTTGAAAGAAGAGGTGCTCCCTATGGTAACCAAAATTTCATGAAAAGACAAGGTGACGACTAATGAAGAAATTGATGTTCCTCCTCACGATCGACGATGAAGAAGAAGAAGAATAAGACAACAGATGGACAACTTATGATTCTTCCTCCAGACGACGACAACGAAGAAGAAGAGGAAAAAAGATATATATTTTCTTATTTTTTTAACTTTTTAATTGTTAACTCATGCTTGAACAATGCGGCGTGTTTTTTAACAGAGGACTACTATGACTCATCGTTGTGGGAGAAAGAATCACAAGTTGTTCATTATTTGTCACCTTGTCGTAGTAGTTTCAGGTTCTTGTTCTTGAAAGAAGAGGTGCTCCCTATGGTAACCAAAATTTCATGAAAAGACAAGGTGACGACTAATGAAGAACTTGCGGTTCCTCCTCACGATCGACGATGAAGAAGAAGAAGAAGAAGACAACAAATGGACAACTTATGATTCTTCCTCCAGACGACGACAACGAAGAAGAAGAGGAAAAAAAGATATATTTTTTCTTATTTTTTTAACTTTTTAATTGTTAACTCATGCTTGAACAATGCGGCGTGTTTTTTAACAGAGGACTACTATGACTCATCGTTGTGGGAGAAAGAATCACAAGTTGTTCATTATTTGTCACCTTGTCGTAGTAGTTTCAGGTTCTTATTCTTGAAAGAAGAGGTGCTCCCTATGGTAACCAAAATTTCATGAAAAGACAAGGTGACGACTAATGAAGAACTTGCGGTTCCTCCTCACGATCGACGATGAAGTAGAAGAAGAAGAAGACATCAAATGGACAACTTATGATTCTTCCTCCAGACGACGACAACGAAGAAGAAGAGGAAAAAAAGATATATTTTTTCTTATTTTTTTAACTTTTTAATTGTTAACTCATGCTTGAACAATTCGATGTATTTCCTAATTAAGGACTATTATGACTATATTGTTGTGGGATGAGGAACCATTTGGTGTCCATTAGTCTTCACCTTATCACTGACGTTTCTGATTATTGTTCTTGAAAGAGGAGATGTTCTCTATGGTAACTAAAATTTGATGAATCGACAAGGTGACGACTAATGGACAACCTGCGATTCTTCCTCCCAACGACGATGAAGAAGAAGACATCTAATGGACAATGTGTGATTCCTCCTCCAGGCGACGACAACAACGAAGAAGAAGAAGAAAAAGAAGCATATTTTTTTTAATTTTTTAATTGTTGACTCATACTTGGACTATGTGATGTATTTTCTAATAGATGACTACTATGACTACATCATTGTGGGAGGAGGAACCGTATGGTGTCCATTATTTGTCACCTTATCGCATACATTTCGAATTCTTGTTCTTAAAAGAGGAGGTCTTCTTTATGATAACCAAAGTTTGATGAATCGACAAAGTAACAGTTAATGGACAACCTCCTCCCAACATCGAGGAAGAAGAACACAATTTATGAACAATTTATGAACAACTTATGGTTCCTCCTCCAGACGCCGACAACAACAAAGAAGAAGAAGAAGTAAAAGACATTTTTCTCAATC